ATAAAATGGCGGCTTCACAAAACTTTTTGGGAGTTTTACGGGGCGTGGTTTGCAATCCGCCCAGCCAATCAGAAATAGGAACCTTTTTCTCCCATGAAAGTACCTGCTCTCTAGCAGGGACTGAAAAGGGGGTGAAAAGGTTCTCATGAACTAAGTTCTAGTTCCGGATTTTTTTGGTGTGAACGCAAATTTTCTGAACTATATCGGAACTATACTGGGAAAAGTACTCGGTGTGAAAGCACTATTGTGTTCTTTTTAACCAAATATCTCTCAGAGGGGCATGGGGAGTAGCTCCTTATTTTCATCTAAAGTAACAGACAGAGAATCAGCACTTTTGAAACAGGGCTGAAACAGAGGGGATTATGGGATGCTACAATGATCTGTTTGGTATTTGTATATATCTGAGACCCGTAATATATTGATGAAAAACAGTATAATAGGAGACCTTTAATATATTCACAGAACACATGCAATGCACCCACTATAAGACTTGCATCCTGATAATGAATGGTAATGTTTATCTTTAGGGAAAAGGGATTGAGAACACATATTGGCTGGTGGGGAAGGAGGACTTCGACAAGCCTCTGCCTATTCCTCCAGACCTTCCAGGGTAAGACAATGTTTTTATACTCCTCTATATTTGTATAATCTTGATTTCCTAGATTTGTAGCATAACTAAACAACTGTGACATAATAATATGGAGCTCCGAGACATAAAAAGCTGCATTTCCTTTTACAGGGGGATCAACAATGCTATCGCTTTAGAGGAAATTCCTGAGGACAGAAGACAAAAATTCCTGGATCGACAGAAGAAAATGACCTAGGCTGGTGTTTTCTTTATTTCTTTTTCAATGTCCCAGAATAAAAAGTTACATTTTGTAATTCAGCATTGGTTTTCAGTTTAGCAATACGCAGAGAGGTGTGAAGGAAAAAGAAGACCCTGCAACAACCACAGTCTACAAGGAAATCCTGTCCAGTAACTTGAGAATCCACACGTTTCGGGAAATAATTTCTGTGCTAAGATAATCTTTACTGTAGAAGTGGCAGCTGTCCAAATGATGTTGGTTCAACACACAAAATAAGCATACCGAGGATGAATTGCAGATCCATGAAGTGTTGGTTTAGACCTCAGTTAAGGGATTTGTGATTGATGTGTTCACAAAAGTAATCACTGTGTAAAATCCTGGTGTACTTCATGCACTGCAACTGTACTGTTTGTACTAATATGTGTGCTTTGTAGAGATAATGGAGATATTTCATCCTAAACACACCACCTATTCATCTCTGATATAAAAGAGCACTCACTTTAGAAGCATTAGCCTTTTAAATAAACTACATTAAAACATGTTCACAGGGATTTAAGCAATGGTAGGTCAGCAAGAGAATAGGGCAGGTTTTACATTTGCTTTTGTGTATTATCACTGTGGTCATTTACACATTTGATCAATGGGAGCAACATCATTCAATTTTGTTTTATTACTGGCTCCTTCAACAAGCCTATTTGATCAATTAGACTGATATACTGTATATGTTTCATTTTAAGCATGTCTACTAACAAAACTATAGTTTAAATCACTTGTTTCAATGCTCAATGTAAAGATGCATCAGGGAAATAATCCTGGGTCTGCAAAGCTAGGGATAACTTTGAAAAAATCCAACATTTAATGACGCATTATTGTCAACAAAATGCCACGGGATCCACATCAGATTCAAAACATTGATGTACGATGTGCACCACTATGTTTCTTATCTTTATGATACTATATACATACAGTATGTATTGCTTTTTAATGATGTTTGTATTGCTTTAACCATTATGCTGACCGAATAATAGAAGACATACACAACATGCAAACAGACCCAGACTACTGCTCACTAATGCATTTCACAATAACTTCATACATGTAGCCTATTACTGAAACATGCTGCCTGCATTCCTGACTGTACTGTACCGCTGTGTGTGTGTGTGTGTGTGTGTGTGTGTGTGGGTGGGTGGGTAACGTGGTCTAAGTGGGACAGACCTGATTTCTGTGACACTGATATGCAGAGAGTCAATGGGCTGAAATTATTATCTGCAATAATGTGCTTCAGCAAATTGAGCCTTCTCATGTGTATCGCTTTGGGAAAATGTATGGCCATTATTATTTTCTATCTGGATTCTCAGGGACCCCAAGCTGTATCCGAACGTCCTCTGAGAACAAATGTCCACAAAGTAGCTCCCATGCCCAACCCCGGGGGATTTTAAAGAACATATGGGGGGTGCAGGCGTACAATAAATGGGAGGACAGAGTCTACTGAGTCATTCCTCTTTGGCTCAGGGATGTGTATATACTGTAAATTTGTACATAGTTAGTTTGTCTTTGTGTCCTGCAGGGTTAGGGACTTTTAGTGGAGTTTCTTTTCTGCTTTGGTTCCCTAAACCCCTGACACAAAGGGAGATATGAGCAGAACATAAAGGTTTAATCACAGTGCAATGAAATTGTAAGCAAGCATTGTTAACTCACTATGTGTTGGCTTGCTAATTGTCTGCCGCAGCTCTGATATTAAAGCAACAATAGGCCGGCAATGTTAGAATGAGATTTATCTCCGACTACAGTTTCAGTCTGCGGCATTGTTCATCCTTGGAAACTCACTTTTTGACCACTTTTAACATAGACAAAATAAAAAATCAGAAGACTTGATTGTCAGGCTTCTTGTGGTGAAGTATTTGACACCATTGAATGTTTAGCGCTGGCTCTTCAGGAATAATCTAACTTTTGCCGAAGATGATTCAGAGTCCAGATAAGGAACATATCCAAATGTTTCTCTGACAGTATCCAAAGAACTAACTAAGTTATTCTATATAGCTAGGACCTAGATATTTAATCAATTTGCCAAATAGACTGATCTCATCCAAGTTGAACGGACTGTATTGTTCATTTTGAAAGTGTTCTCAATGTGTTTCTGTAAATAAAATATGATTTTAGTGAAGCTTGAGACTTTATGTGTTTGTGTCATTGCCAACTCTTCAGTCCTTGTGTGTTGAGGCTGTTTTCCCAAATGGTGCACTGGCAGCATAATAAATGATGATTCAAACCGACTGCCCCAATAAATCACGCATTTAATAGGCAAGTAAATCACTATTTAAATGTTAGTACTACAAATGATACTACAAAAAAATTATAGTATAGTATGTTAAATAAAAATGCAAAAGGTCTATATTATGAAAATATCTTATAAAAGTCATTGTATAGCATGTTTTTTTAAATATAAAAAGAGTATACCCTGTTGAAAAAGTATTGAGAAAATGTGTAAAAATGAACATGAAAGAGTCATAGTATAGCATATCGAAAAAGATGAAAAAAGTTGCAGTATGTCATTGTATATTTACATAGTAGTACAGTATGTACACCTCTTAATGTTGGCCTCAAAATGCACCACATTGGTTCCTTTAATTTTGAAATGCATCATTGAATATTATAATAAAATTGTATTTTGCTGTAATATTAGATTCCTAAAACACAACATATGGGGAGTTGTTATATAATCATATGCCCATACACTGATCTGCAACATATGCACTTGTATTTAAAGTCTGCATCATATTCAATATGTAGAACCCTGACCTCTCACACAGTATGTTCTGCAGTTGTTCCTATGGTCATTGGGGTTACAAAATATGCTAAATTTAACTCAGAAATTGTCCAATATTACACGCAATCCCACGCAGTGTTCCTCGGCTGAACACCGTGTTCCTCAGCCAGCTGCAGACCTGAAGCCCTCCTGGTTCCTGACTGACTGGCACCGGGTAGAGGTGCCAGTCGAGCAGAAGATCAGTGAAGTCAGCCAGCGTGAGCAACATGGAGACCGGAAACACGTCAGGTTGTATTTCACAATAAAAGCATATATTAGGTTGTGGTCACAAAAAACACAAAATAAGAAAATATGTACTTTATTAATCCCAATTTGGGAATTTTTGATGTTGCAGCAGCATAAAACAAAACAACCATTGCACATAATAACAAATTAAATGAGTAAACATAAACAATTCTAAAATAGAAACATCTCAACATGGAAATAGAAATAAACCAACATTAGAGAGTAAGAGAAATATACAGATGATATAAACTGTCTGACAAATAAAAACACTATTGAAGGGCCAATTTTCTGTTAACACATTATAAACAATATAAGCATCACAAGAGGTGATTTATTGAAACATGAAGCTACAAGAAGGCCCTGTTAGGGTTTTCAGAATAAGATCAGTTAATGCAAGAACATTTACAGGACTGTGACAGCTAAAGAGAAATCATGCTGCAATAATCTGTAAGATTAGCCTGGTTGTATGCAGAATATATTATTATATTCAAGACATTTATAAATTACTTTACATTTTTGTAAAATGGCAAATTGTTTTATTTTATTATTTTGCCTAGTATCATGATTTTGCTTTTTACAACATTTAAAGTTATTTGTATTATTATTAAGTTATTTTTATTAAAATGTATTATTTATTTATTTAGTAACCATTAAAGTGACAACAAGTAGGTTTCACCGCAGGGTCGCTGACTTAGTTACCTCCTGCATCATGAGGTAATATTGAGTGCCTGAAAATACAGCATTGGAAAGGGACATGAGTAGAAGGCCTTATTCAATTCGGTCATGCTTTTATTTTTGAAACATCTCCACCGGAGGTTCTGCTGCATCGCCCCCAGCTCGACGGTGGGGGTGATCTGACAGTGGGCAGCATCAGACAGGTGGAGGAGTCCTCACAGCTGAACTGCGGTGAGACTCTGGGCGGCACCGGGCTGCAGGACGAGCCGCGCGGACGCTGTGCTCGCGGTGCGCGGATCTCCTGCAGCAAATACTGGATCCTCAGTATGATCCCAGATCCAGAACATGCTTTGGCTGTTTTTCCCATCCTGAGCCTTCTCACACATGCTGGACACATCAATGTGGACGCGGGGAGGACGAGGGATGTAGTTGCAATGGATTAACGAGGGGTACACATGGGCACCGATTTTTTTCCACAGATTATTGGCTTCTAATATTTTCCACCCTGTCTTGGCCATGGAGAACCAAGCAGCCGAGCCGCAGAACTATGAAGATGTACAGAAAAGCGGATATCTCCGCAAGCATAAATCAATGCACCGGCGGTTCTTCGTGCTGAGGGCGGCCTCGGAGCATGGTCCTGCTCGACTTGAGTATTATGAGAACGAGAAGAAATTCCGCAGTAAATCACCTGTGCCCAAGAAAGTCCTGAACCTGGACACCTGCTTCAACATCAACAAGCGAGCAGATTCGAAGAACAAGCACATGATAGTCCTTTACACCCGCAGTGAGAGTTTTTCCATCGCTGCAGACAGCGAGGAGGTCCAAGATGACTGGTACCAGGCAATGCTGGACCTCCAATGCAACTGTAAGATATGAGAAGTGTGATTTCTGCTGTCTTTTTCTGCATCAGGCCTATCCTGCCGTAGGCTGTTTGTTCTCCACACACTATTTTGCTCGGCCATTCCTGGTTGTTAATTGCATATCACTGGCTCGAATTGTTTTTTTATTATCATTATTTCTGCAGCTCTAGTTTCTAGCCATTTCATTTAAATAGATCAGTTGTGTGCTATTCTGATGGTGCGTTTTAAACCAAGAGGCAGGTGGATCCCACTGATCGGGGTAAACCAACACGCTATGGGCGGCATGTGTTGTGTTTGTGCTGCACAATTCCAATCAGCGTTGCTTTAATACATTCAGAACCTGCGGATCATTTTCTGTCAGTAATATGTAACATGATGCATGAAACAGCATCTGTATGTGATAATATTTACACGATCAGCGTTTCTGACTGAAATGCAGCCCGTTTTATACGACGGTGTATTTTTTGCATGGCGCAGTGGGCATATAGCAACCATCCAAAGGATGCATCATATAGTAGTAGCCTATCGTGGTGCACTCCGCTGGATCCCGTGTTTTTGTTTTTCTGCACAGCTCTGACTGCCTAACCTACATTTGTTACACGGACGGAGCTGCTGGTAGGGAGGAGAAGGCATCGTCAGTGCGCTCTCACTGGAAAAATGTGTTTCTGTTGGTTAACCCTCGTGTTTACGTTGTTATTATCCTTATGTTGGCGCTCAACATTACTACCTATCTCCCTGTTATCCGTTGCATTTCAGTTAAATGAGGCTGATGGGCTTGCCCAGTTTTAATTTTCTCACGTTGTGGAAGTCTGAATAAATGCACGTTAGATGGAAGACCCCCATTTTGTTGAGATTATGTCGAGCGTAAAATATTGTTCCTAACGTAATTAAATTGTAATGCATGCATGTAGGCTACATTATATGCATAGCGACGCACATAAAATGATTGGAAAACATTAACATATCAGGTTATAGTAGTTCCAGGGATAAACTTACAATTAAATATGTTTTTCTTGAGGGTGGGAGAAACTCACTTCAGTTGTCAGTTGTTTAGTGGATAGCCTATAGCTGGGCACAACAAAAATACATTTGTATACTGTAATTTGGCATGCTATTCGCATTCATCTGAAATATAATGCATTATTTCACAAATGAACATGCATTATTTTTTGCAGAATGTTATACATCTCCTGAAAACTTAAATTATTATAGAGCAGTAGCTTAATATTGACTGATGAAAAAACTGCAGAACTGAATTGCTTGCGGATATAAAAGAGATACTTATATTTAGCAATTTAGTAATAGTAGATTTTACTTATTGGTGTCAATACACTGGTTTGTGATTATGTGATGTGTTTTGTGTTAAAGGGGACCTATCATGCCAAATGCACTTTTTGATGTCTTAATACATAAATATGTGTCCCCGGTGTGTCAGGGAACTCACTCTGTACCCAAATCTTTTAAAAAACGGGGGTACAACGAGCGGATACAGATTTGCTGCCGATATGACGTCAAATCGGCGGCGGACCCATAGAAAGTTGCTATCAGAAACAATGCCTGATGTGTTTTGGGTAATCTCGTCTTTGTTTACATTAGCAAGCCTCACTAACACTCAGAGCTAACCTGTACTGTAGAGCAGGGGTTCCGGGCCGCGGAGGTGTTACTGCCGGGCCGCAAAATAGCTGTGAGTTTATCGTAATATTTGCAGAATTATAAATATATAAAAATATTTTATCATGTTTTTTTCAAAAAGTGTTTAATTTTCGCACCTATAGGCTACCAGTCATATTATTTCATCCAGTAGCCTAGTTAAACTTCCACCAGAAAACAGTTGAAAATGGCTTTTATGGTGTTCCGAGGGATTCGGCGGCTCAGCCTAAGGTCTCAGCCTCTCGTTCGCACGAGAAAGTTACCGGTGCGCCAAGTAGGAAGAGGAGCGCACAGGAGACAACCGTTTAATTGCAGACTGTTATGTTTATGTGGGGAAATGGCAGTGCATACATTATTTGAGATATATTTCAAACTCGGACTTCATTTTAAGGACATGTCGGCCAGGGGTGTAGGGCTATTTGTTTAAGCACCGGATTGGCAAAACAGGAGAGTAAACCAGTCTGCCTTGATCTATGAATTAATGTCCGGGACTCTCACGGTATCTGCTGCCCGCAGCTGTTTTATAGAAGGAAAACCTCCTTCACTTCATGAAATGGCTGCAGCATCAGGAGGCAGCGGGACATATACTCCGCCTCTGAGAAGTGCAGCACCAGCACGTAAAGAGCTGTGCCTTTTTATGCACCGCCTTCACCATGGGTGGCGCCAGGATTTTTTTACTGAGAATTATAACAACATTAGCCAAGTAACAGTTCGCGCTTTAACTTACAATGACCCCTGATAGATCTCGCGAGAATGTGTATAAATATATATAGATACATTTTCATAACAAAACAATGGGGTTGCTAAGCCGTTGCTAGACCAATTGTTGGAGTTGCTATAGCAACTCCAAGCTACCCCCTGGCACCGCCCCTGGCCTTCACTGTGTTTACCTTCATCAGAACAGCTTAAAGGTGGGGTAGGTAAGTTTGAGAAACCGGCTCGAGATACACTTTTTGTTATATTCCATGGAATGCTCTTAACATCCCGATAGCAATGAATATCTTAAGTGCTTTGACAAAAAATCATCTGTGGAAGCCGTAGTACTGTAAAAAGCACAACCAATCATTTTAGCCGGCCCGGCTAAAATAACTGGATGGCCTAGCTGCCTGTCAGCCTTCCATCTGTGCACAAACTTATCTCGTGCCCTCATTGGTCATGTGCGCGTTCGTGTGTGTTGGAGGAGGGGCTCTGTAAGGAAGTGGCAGATTTTTTCCGGCTGTGTATTTTCAAATTCTAGCGCACTCGAGCTGGTTTCTCCAAAATTACCTACCCCACCTTTAAGAGTGACTGCAGGCTGCTACATGTTAACCACACACGCCTCTACACACACACACACACACACACACACACACACACACACACACACACACACACACACACACACACACACACACACACCTCTACACACATCTCTACACACATCGAACTGCCCGATTACTCCACCTTTTATTAGTTTTATGAAGGAGATGTCCGGTCACCAAGGCGCATGATGTGTGTGTGTATGTGCTCTGCTCAGCTCAGCTCTGTGTGTTCGGTGTGTTTGTGTCTGTCCGATGCCGGACGCCAAATTACCATGAACAGTAATTTACACACATCTGGCTAACTCCATAGGTATATTTGGGTGTTCCCAAAATAAATTAGTTTAATCTTAATCTCGATGTAGGCTACTAAATGCTGTCGGAGTGCACCGGAACGAACAACACTATCATAATATCTTCTGAAAACAAATGCCAGTGTCACACACACACACACACACACACACACACACACACACACACACACACACACACACACACACACACATCGGACATCTCCTTCATAATGCGCCTTCTCCTCGTTTTCCCAGCATTCACTGGATTATCCGTAAATCATCCAAACAAAACCAAAACGTTGATTTAACTGTTTTCCCGTTTTGGTTTAAAAACGGAATAACGTCGTTTTTTTGGTTTTCCGTTTTTCCGAAAAACAAAAAAACGACACCGGTTCTTTTTTAAACGTTGTTAATATGTTTTGGATGCATATTGTTCTAGTATTTGTTCAGGCTGTTACATTAATATTAGCCTCTGTTGCTACCTGCTGGTGGTGAGTAAATATTAAAATCAGTTAAAATTGACAAACCGGTCCGCGATTTTTTTTTTATGTATCTACCGGTCGTTGGCACAATAAAGGTTGGGAACCCCTGCTGGAGAGCACATGTGTTTAAAAAGCAGGAACTCCTGAACAACAACAAAAAGCCTGCGTTTTATCCAGTTTGTACACAACGATGGAGAAACTTAACAAGCAGCAGTCCATTTCGTTTCGACAGAGCAAAACCAAAACGAGTAGCGCTTCAACACAATCGGCCATTGTTGTTGTTGTCGGTGTGAGCTGTGAGGGTTTTCCGCGCGGTTTGGCTTTATGAAGCAGGCACGCAAACGGTTACGTCATGACGCAAACGATGACGCAATGACGCAGCACCAGTCGGACTCTGGGCGGTGTGAAAAGAGCCGGAGCTAAACCGAAGAACCGGTTCTGAACCTGAAAAGCTCTAGCACGGAGCTTGAACCGGAGTTGCGTTGGTGTGAATGAGGTATAACAGGGCTGCAAAAGAGGGGTATGAGCAGTATGAGGCATGGCTATAATGGGTGATCTGTTTGGTATTTTAAGCAAAAAACTTCACAGACATGTTTTGTATATAGGTATGGCCCTACAATATATTTTTCCAATATAGCATAATAGGTCCACTTTAAATTATGATATGTATGATATGTTTAGTCATCAATTGCCATTATTGTTAATTTATTTATGTATGCTTTATTCTTTTCCTAGGTAAAACTCCTGAAGACTATGGCAGTAGTGGAGAGTGTAGCTCTCCGTCTCCTATTCCAACATTCAAGGAAGTCTGGCAGGTCAAGGTTTGGCCTAAAGGTCTTGGACACGCCAGGAACTTAGTGGGCATTTACCGACTGTGCCTAACTGACAAGACAGTCAACTTTGTCAAAATCAACTCCGATGTGGCATCTGTGGTGTTGCAGCTGATGAATGTCCGCAGGTGTGGCCATTCAGAGAATTTCTTCTTCATTGAAGTTGGCCGCTCAGCGATTACTGGCCCTGGAGAGTTCTGGATGCAGGTGGATGATTCTGTGGTGGCTCAGCACATGCATGAGACCCTGCTGGAGGCCATGAAGGCCCTGAGTGAGGAGTTCCGTCAACGCAGCAAATCTCAGTCTGTGGGCACGTCGTGTGGAGGCGGTACGGCTTCAAACCCCATCAGTGTCCCGAGTCGTCGGCATCATCCAAATCTGCCACCAAGCCAGGTGGGCTTCTCCAGAAGAGCTCGCACAGAGACCCCTGGAACAGGAGGCAGCAGCACTAGCACTTCTCCTACATCTCGCCATGGATTCCCCAGGGCGCGGACTGCCAGCATCGGGGCCCGGTCGGAGGAGAGCGGAGCAAGTGCCAAAGGGACCTGGGCCAGCTCCAGCCCGAGTCTAAATGGCTCATGCTCAACTACGCCAACACTGAGGCCCAAACCCACTAGGGCTCCAACTCCTGCTAAGATTACCCTCAGCCTTGCACGCTACACGCCTAACCCCGCTCCCTCTCCTGCCCCCAGCCTGTCCTCCAGCTCTGGTCACGGCTCAGAGTGTGGCCTAGTGGGGGCGGCAGTGGGCGGCATGACGATCTGCTCCTACCCTCGTGTTTCTCAGAGAGTTTCTGTTTCAGGTTCACCAAGCGACTATGGCTCCTCAGATGAATATGGCTCCAGTCCCGGGGAACATTCTCTTCTTGTACCCAGTATGTCTGGACATCATGCACCTGAAGGCTCCTCCAGTTATATAGTGATGGGACAGCGAGAGGGCCTCCTTGGCTCCCATCATCGCTCAAAAGGCAGACGGATACTACGGCGCTCATCCAGCAGAGAATGTGAGGCAGAGCGCAGACTACTGAGCAAAAGAGCTTCCCTGCCTCTGGCGGCCCATGAACGACTGAAACCCCATAGAAAAGATGAAGATGATGAAGACGATGATGACTATGCCATCATGTCGCAGAGTGCTAACCGAGGGAGATCTGAGCTCCATGGCTCTGGGGGTTTGGCAGTTGGGGGTGGGCAGCTGGCTGCAGTGGGGAAAAGTAGGAAGAGGATCGACAAAAGCAGGAAAGAAGTGGAAGGCGAAGCGGGCGTGGATACTGGCTATATGTCAATGTTGCCTGGAATCACTTCTCCACCTGCTTCACTCACTCTCTCGATGTCCGACGCCAGTGCTAAAACGGGAGCAGATGATGATTATATGGCCATGACCCCCAACAACAGTGTGTCCCCCCCTCAGCACATCCGTCAGCCCAGCACAGAGGGATACATGGTCATGTCTCCCAATAGCAGCAGCTCCACAGACCTGCCCGGGCTCGGCATGTGGGACAGCAGCGCCAGCATGGAGAGCCGGGCTGCCAGCGACTACATGAACATCTCACCTGTCTGCAGCCGATCCGCCTGCAACACACCGCCTTCCCATCTCGAACAACACCAACTGCAACCAAAAATGTTCAATTCCTACTTCTCCCTGCCAAGAGCTTATCAGCATACTCTCTATTCTCGCTTCGAGGAGGACTTAAACAAAGGGGAAGGAAAAAAGGACAGCAGTGGGAATGATGGTGCTGCAAGTGGAGGGGGAGTGGGATACAGCAAGAGAAACAAAACTACAGCGGGCTCTGCAGGAGGCTGTCAACTATCCATGTCTTCCTCTTCTTTCTCCTCCAGCTCAGCCAGCAGTGAGAGCCTTGAAGACAAGTCCTTATCGGCAGGCAGAGGGTTAAGTTTAGTAAGAACTGGAAAAGATGAGCGCCACCATCAAAAACGAGGATCTAGTAGTAAGAGCCCAAAGCAACAAAGGAGGGGTCGTCCCCTTAGTGTATCTTCAGACATTACTAAAGCAAACACCTTGCCCAGGGTGAAGGAGAATCTGCTGCCATCGGCTTCTCAAAACGTTGGTGATTATGTCAGCATTGTGTACAAGGACAACAATAAGTATGGCGCAGGCCAACGCTCTGAACGTGGACAACCTGTGATCCATGGAACCATCCGTCGTATGAATCAACCTCTCCTCTGCCACGATAACCCCGCTGTCCTCCCTCGTAGCTTCTCTGCTCCATTGTCCACTTCTGCAGAATACGTCAGCATGGATTTAAGGAAGTCCCCGGCGCCCCTGACTCCTGTCCGATCCACGTTCAGCACCCCCCAGAGCCCACCAGCTGTTGCCCCCAAGACCCGGTATGAACACAGCACGTCCTCTCCGCTGGCAGCAGAGGGCAGTGCCGGGTACAGAACAAAAGTAAAGATGGCCACCATGCCAACAGACGCCCCTACTCCGAACAAAGGTTCAGATCCGAGCATTTCAGCAAGGCCTGCCATCCACTCCGGTCAACCTTTGTCGATGGATGAGGAGAGAGGCTTGGGTTTTTCCCCAGTCAAGTCTTTCAAGTCCCCTGATCGGAGCGGCAGATCGATCCGCGGTGATCAACAGGGACGGCAGAGCCACCGCTCAGAGACTTTTAACTCTCCTCCCTCACTACCACGCCACCCACCCTCCTCTACCTCCATCTTCCCGGAGGGAGGCCAGGCAGCGAGCCAACGGCACGGTTTGGATTGCTCACCGTGGGAGAACCGGCAGGCAGGTGGTTTATCAGACACTCCTCCACAACAAGCCTCCACCTCGTCTGCTGAACCAGGCCTTAACTATATTGACCTTGACCTGGCCATTACGGACAGCCCTCAAGCCGGAGTGGAGTGTTCCTCGGCCGCCTACAGCATCGGAGGAAGCAGCACTGCTGGCTCCAGCCTCAACACTTACGCCAGTATTGATTTCTACAAGTCAGAAGAACGGAGAGCACACTCCAGCAGTAGAAAGGATGGACAAGGTAAGAGCTACGTTGACCACAAACCAATCTTAACCAAAAAGGAACTAGTTATGTAATGGACAACTGAGATTTGCTTTCAGAAATTGTTGAGATATTCTACCATTTCATGCACTCTTACGTAGACATGATCTATTATAGTTTGAGATATCCTGTGTGAGGTAGCAGCGCCTCTAGTGGCCACTTTGTTTATTGTTCTTGTAGATGATCAGGTTATCGGTGTCAGTTCTGGCCCCAAAGATACATGGTCATATCAATTAATGCAGATAGTTGTTCAAAACAATGAGAAATTGTTCCTGATTGTATTTTTCAAAGTGTATATGCGTAGGAAAACACCCACTGCCTACAGCCAAACATAATCACATAGTTTTATATTTCTCCAACTATTTTATAATTGATTGATTCTTTGGGGTGTCATTTTTCAAGCAAAAGATGCAAAGCGAATCTCTGGTTTACGCTTTTTTAAATCTAATTTGCAGCTGTCCTTTGTCAGATTTGTTTTCATTGCAGAACAAGTTGATGACTCACAATTTCCAGTCAAAATTATGCTTTTATCATTCGAGGTGAATGTCATTGCAGAGGAAATTATTCGTTGAGTAGTCCATTAGTCGAGTGACAGAAAATCTGAAAAAAACATCTACATTCTATATTTCAATAAGAAATCATTGTTTTTTTTCTTAGATATTAAATATCTCTTGGTTACTGACTGTCGGCCCCGAAAAAATAACATTTCTTATTATCTCAACTTTAAAACAGCGGACATTTCCCCTAGTTTCTGTAACAATTTACAGTGGCATTAGTAAAATACTCATCTGATCAATACAAATGTTTTTTAACAGCATTAATGGGGATGATTTCCCGACAAGTGAAAGAAAAACAAAACTACCCAATTTCTTGTAATGTTTGTCTGGCTACATGTAAGCTTTTTATGAGAGGTGCATAATCCACAGACCAAAGTGAAGTGTGGGTCTTAGTCACTGCTAGTTCTTCCTCTCCTGATGTTACCTCTGCTTGGAGCTGCAGAACACTGTGTCTCCGGGCTGTGGGCTGTCTGTAGACTCTCTTATTATCACAAGTGGGTGTTCTGAGAGCAAAGCCAATTGATTTGTCTGCTGGTAATGAGCCATTTCACATAAATGGAGGTAGAGGGGAGAGAACACGGCCAGGTGTTTGTGCGTGGGCGTGATATCGGCTGCAGGAATGCACATGGTTTCCCTCACAAGAAACGGATGAAAAATATGTTATGGTTATTGTAAAATACATTTTTGATGAATTTGGTGAGTTTATTTAAGATTTGTTTTACCTTAACCTGGCCTCAAGAGACCATATATATTTTCAACATTACAAATATTAATATAATTTATTTGAAAAAATACATACTTTAATTCATAATAATAATAATGTATTCAAATATAAATGATTTGGACAAAATGAGTAATATTCATATAAATAATAATAATAATAATAATACATTTAAATATAAATGATTAAGAGACCGTACAATATTAGTGTTGTAATAGTGTTTACAATATTGCAAATATAAATTATTCGGACAAAATAATAATAATAATAAAAATAATAATAATAATTAAATATATATATATACATATACTGTATACAATATTAACAACAATAATAATAATACACTTTATGTATAAAGCACCTTTCCGAGTGCTTTACAAAAAACAGGCGTAAATGAACTAACTTAAAAACAAAGGAAGTGAAACAGAGTTGAATGATGAACAACTCTTATTGATTTTTAGCAGCTTCTGCAGCTATAGGATTGATTTATCTAATGCTATTGAATCTCTGTGTGTGTAGAGTGTTGGACATGTCAAATCATAATCATTCCCTCATTATTTAAATTGAGGAAAGTGTTTAAGATGCGTAGCAAAGAAAAGAAAGCTCTGTTAATATTCTGTAAACTACTCTTTCATGTGATTTTCACACTGCATTAAATGATTGAATGTGCCTCCCCAGAGCACTTTCATTAACTGCTGCCATCTTCTTATAATTAAACTCAATATATAAAGCCTGCATGTGCTGTATGTGGAGGTTGTGCAGCATATCAAATCTCAAATGAACAGGCTCCTCGAATGTCCAATCAACACTCATATAATCCTGCTAATATCCCATTACTCCACCTGTTTTAATTATGTTTTAATTAGACACTCAGAGAAAATGTGTTTATTAAAACTAAATTATATTAAGATGTTTATTTGTGTTTTAATTGCTACATTGGCACATCTGCATTACGACATTAAGTGTTCATATGAACGTTTGCTGTGATGGTAAGAGTCTGAACCAATGATGTTGCTCCAATCTTCCTGGTGTTTGTAAATGCTTAATTGTCTTTATGAGATGCACTTAGAGCAATATGAGGAGTTATTAGTGAACACTGCAGTCTCACATGTTCTATCAAATCAAATCAAGTTTTATTCATAAAGCACATTTAAAAACGATTTTTGGTTGAGCCAAAGTGCTGTACATGTAATAAAAGCACACTGCAATAACATGAGAAAATAAAGAAAAGACAATAATTTACAACAGAAATATAAAGACAAAACACAGAGAAATGTCAGGTGTCATGCTCCGCTCTGACTAGAAGGCCAGAGAGAAGAAGTGTGTCTTCAGTGAAGATTTAAAAACCCTAGCACTGATGGGCTTCATGAAATCCAAGTGAATGTGAACCAATGTAAATTTAATTTAAAGGGGACCTATCATGCAAAATGCACTTTTGTACGTCTTTTATACATGAATATGTGTCCCCGGTGTTGCCACTGTCCTGACGTCAGGACAGTGGCGCTACGGCTATTGGGCCAACTCCACCAATCAGGAGGAGACAGCCACGGCCATTGCCGTTCGAAAGCGCTGGAGACGCTGTAGTACATATGCCAGGCCTGTAGGTAGTGCTGTTCTCACTGAATCTGCCCAGAGCTAGAAATTGTCAAATTGAGCAAAATGAGGCATGGCTAAAATGCATGATCTGTTTGGTATTTTGAAAAAAAAAAAGTATAAATATGCCTTATATAGGTATGGCCCTACACTATATTATTCAAATATAGCATGATAGGTCCACTTTAATAAACTATTTCTGCACTACAGACCAAAGAAGTGAAAGTGACGAGTAAAATAAAGACCTTTTTGAAGATGAAAGATGGAAACATGTCACGGTACTGTAGAGACACTAAATACAAATATGAACCTGAAAATTAGCATAATATGTCCTCTTTGAATTCTGTTTACTGTGGATTAATATTTAAACTATGATAATTGATATTACATTTAAAAACACAAATTGTTGTCACATATAGACCTGCAGCGATAAATGAATGAACTGATTAGAAGATGGACAGAAACAGAAACCCTAATCATGGTTACAGTAATTATTTATGCAAACAAGATATATATCAAATTAAACTGAATATGTTTCGTGTTTCAAGCCATTGGTCTTGGAATAAGATGGACATTTGTTCTCTATTTGTGACCTTTTGTAGGCATGTAGTCTATAAATTAAAGAGGAGATTAATCAATAATATTTTAATTTGCTTTTGATTCTTCTCTTTCAGACTGTTGATCTCCAACACTCGCTCAGTGATGGGACGGTCGGCGACGTGTTGCCAAAACAGAACCGTACTCTGGAGTCTGAAACTCATCTCACCCCGTCTGCTGTTTTCTGTTAACCAAATGTGTACCACACACACACACTGACACACACACACCGACACCGACACCGACACACACACACACACACACACACACACACACACACACACACACACACACACACACACACACACACACACACACACACACACACACACACCCAGACAAACACACACACACACACCGACACACAGACACACACACAGACACACACACACACACACACACACACACACACACACACACAGACACATACCGACACACACACACCGACACACACACCAACACACAGACACACAGACAAACACACACACACACACACACACACACACACACACACACACACACACACGCACGCACACGCACACGCACACGCACACGCACACGCACACACACACAATAGCAGGGTAATGGAAAGGTTTTGTTTTGGCCTTGTTTTGAACTAAAATGACATTTGATCATCATTTAACTTAACATAAAAAAGGATGACAATTTGATATGTGGGACTTCTCAGGTGGCCATTATGGCAACAACAACAACAACAACAACAACAAAACATCTGTACATCTTAACTTAAATCACATGGTAATCGGTGCATGAGCTCTATTCAATTTTCTTAAGGCTCACAATGGCAGCTGAATACAGTAAATCATGTATTGGGTCCCACATTTGTAATCCTCAAGGTTTATGTTTTTGTATATTATCCTTTTGTCCGTATATAATAAGTTCAATGATCACCAGGTGTCATTTTGACTTGAATGAAATGCAGCTTGGCAGAGGTATCATACACTCATACACGCTGTAAACATATTTGATTTAGTACAGTATATACAGTTGCCCAAAGATGACTTTACACTTCCTGACCTCATTTTGTGCTACTAGCAGACCTCAACAGTATTCTGAAGTAAAGAGTACAGTTACAGGAAATTGGCAATGATATTATGTTTTTCAATTGTATTTAAGGCCTGACATTTACAGTATGCTTTCTTTAAAAAAAAGCACACTTCCTCAATATTGTATTGGAAGTATTGTGATGTAACTACTGTGTTATTTAGAAAAAATACAATAAAGTCCACAGGGGGAGACTAAATCTGGGATTAGAAAAAGTTAAAATATGCTCCACTGCTCTGTGAAAAGAAAAAACTTCTCTAATAATGTTCAAACAGTCCCTAAATACAGCATAAGGTCAACATATTTGTTAAGATTGTAGTAGACAAACTACTACATAGGTTAACACTTCCCGATCAAATAATGATTTAAATGAATGCATTTTGAACCATGTGTGTAGCACAAAAAAAGGTCAAATTGTAAATACTTATTTGGGCAACTGAGCTTTATTAAAACTGTATATTATACTATAGTGTATACTACGGTATACAAGTAGAACGACAGAAACTATAGTGCATACTGTAGTCTGTTTCCTCATTTGCAAACTGAACTCTAATATAAAGTGACACATTACAATGGTATATAAAACATACAGTATACATATAATGATTAATACTATATAGCCTAGATATCTATATACTCTTTTATAAAGTGCCTCATTTTTGATTGTAGCTGTTTTTACACAGGTAATCTTAAAATGGGTTAGAAGAAGAAAAAACGTGTTTCTCTCCTGAGTTGTGAATATGTTGAAGACAGAACTGACACTCATGTTGCTATCAGTCAGCCATAATCAAATTGCCTTACTGTGTTTATCAGAAACATAACAAAATAAATCTTGTTTTTAATTTTGTTGCAGTGCCTAACACTTCAGCCACAATGTAAGCACTCTTTTCTTTGGTTTCGTCAAGCTGATGTTTGGCCCAAAAAAAAAAAAAAATGTCACTGTAATTTCACACCCTGGGATGCGTCCACTTCCGGCCCAACTTCGTATTATTATTATTATTATTTTGTCCACTTCCAACCAGCCACCGGTGTAAAAGCTGACGGCCTTTTGCAGATGGGATCCTCCATCTGAAGCTGGTTCTTAGTGCGCATTGTGCTTGCAGAGAAGAATTGTACATGAGGATTCATTGTACAGATTTTAATGTCAAATCATATTTCTTTTGTACACCAAGAAGAAATGACAGTTGCCAGTGTCTTGTATATAAAATAAGTTGCCCACTGTTAAAAAAAAGGTCAGTATTTGACAGTAAATCTAACATTTGCTATTATTTTAAACCCCCAAACAATCATGAAAAGATATTCTTCGAGTGCTAAACAGTATTAATATGCTAGCTCTTTATTATTTGGATGTGGATTATCTGAACGTGGGTTCAGTTCCCAGAAGGTGTGACCACTCTTTTTTCTCTCAACACATCGAATGAGACATCCCTGCTCTCTACTGTTCATTACTTTTCCATGTACTCCATTGATTCTGCTGCTGTCAAACAAATTGCCAAAAAAAAGGTCTGACAACAATTCAAGAAATTCTACTTTAACGATAAGTAGATGATTAAAAGACACCTCACTTTTTCACTTGGACAGCCACTGTGCCAAAAAAGTGTTTTTTTCTTAAGGTAGCGTTACTTTTGAAAGGTTGCGTACTGTATCCAGAGCCACTGGCGGAGAGTTTGTGACGTTACTGATACTTAAATTAAATGAAGATGTGTTGGTTTACAGCAAAACAGTCAGTCCAGGGCTCTGGATGTTTGTATACAGGGTAGAAACTACAAAGGCTTTCTTGATGCATTTTTTACACTGGTAGCTTTTCCCACATTTAGATTTTTTATTTCACAAACCAAATAAGTTGACAAATGCTTAACATGCCGATACACATGAAAAGTAATGTGAGTGTTTTAATCCTGGAGGTATCATTGTTTGTCTGTCATTACTGTGGTCATTAATGAAAAAAGAGACATTTGAACCAGCTTCTGAAAAAGTCTTCCATACATTTCTTTAGTATTCAAATTGCAGATGTGGGCAACACCTGGCACACATTTCCTTCGCGAAAGACTGGTGCCAAAGTTTTATAGAGATCTCTGAGCTTCTGCGACGCAAAGCTAATTTGATTTTTTTTTACCAATTTGTCACGCACGTATAAATCACTGTTTTGAACCCTACCAGGTAGATTGAGCACAGCCCACTACTGCCAAACAGTTTGTGCTCAACACAGGAAACTATATTGCCAAACTCTTGTATAACAACTCAACTACATGGACTGGTTTTATAACTTGTGTTCCTCTTTTGTTACAGTGATCTTTTATAATCTCTTTGTTATTCCCTCAGTGTAACTCTTCTAATTGGGGATTAGCGAGATTCTCTGACTGTACCTCATAATCTCAACTTCGGGCAGACGTAACAGTTGGTTCTAAAGCCCCTCGAGAGTCTGAGGCGGATATTACTGACGTCCAACAGGAAGGAAAGGCATGAATAAAAGCTGTGGAGTTGAGTAAATATCATTTGATGTATGTTGTGCTCAAAAGCAGTGTTTCCATCCTCATGACATACGGCTTGAAATTCCTCTCATGTATGAATCATTCAAATTCTGCGAGTGTTTTGAATGAAATGCAGAAACCTTTTTGTGTTGAAAAGAGCTCTAACTCTAACTGTGGGAAATGATACTGTATGTACAATCAGGATATCGAGTATAATTACAATGGGAAAAGAGCATTGTATGTATTTTAAAGCTGTTGAAACTACTTTGATAATGATGTAAAATGCAAAAAGACTGAACGGAAACGATGTAAAGTATACTGTGTATAGAGGAGTTTGCTCCAGGGGAGGGATGGGCATGGGGTTTATTCTGTTCATGGCGAAATTGTTTAAAACAGAATATTGATGATTCTTGTCTGTGATGTAGACAACGTCAATGTTTTTTGATAAAGGAAAAAGTGAGATGAAAATGGAAAATTGTGAGTTTTTGTATGATGTCTGTTGATCTGAAACGTCTACATGGACGAGGTGCGGCTACTTTTAGTTGAGTGAGTCTAGGGCAGGGGTGTCTAAACCTTTTTCACTGAGGGCCGCATACAGAAATATATACGAAGGGATGGACCCCCTACTAGAGGTGAGGTATATTGTCTCAATAAGTAAAGTCAGGGGCGTCCAAACTACGGCCTGTTGTCCATTTTGAAATGGCCCTCAGCTAATTATTCAGTTTAATGTAATACGGCCAAACATGAAGCTTATGTTGTGCTTCTTAAATATATACAGTGTGGGGGAAACTTCTGTGTAGCAATGCAGGAGGAGTCACTGACTCAAAGGAGACACGGGGAGAGCTGGAGCTTTGATGGCAAACACTGATGGGTTTATTTGAAGCTTCGGCCGGAGAATTCACAAAACAAGTCAAAGAGTCAGAGGTCCTGACTTCACGGTAGAGTTGCCACGTCAATTCTGAAGAACTCTACCCCAGACCCATGTATTTAGCTAGTTCAGAGAGAATAATCAACATTGAGCATAACAAGATAGAATCATAACACCTCTATCAGCTGACGCCAACAGGCAGGAACAGGGAGACAAAACACTGAGAGCACAGCAGCCAAGGTTACAGGTGCTTGTGCTCAGTCAGGACAGTATGAACTGATAAACTGGGTCAAAGTTATGGGCCTTGGAAAATATTTCCCGAACATACAGTATGTCAAAAATATTACACAGTGTTCATGTGTTAATAAGCATAGTTTTCCTAATAAATTCAGTCAATCGTAGTTGATAAAAAAAGCCCTACAGCTTATTTACATAGTAAGCTTGAAAGACACCCCTGAGTTAAGTTATAAGTTGTCAAAATCAATCAAATGTAGGAAAATGATGCTTGATACTTGAATATGCTTTATTAAAAAAAGCAGCCTACATCACAGCTCTCCATAGGGTTTCATTTATTTTATTACAAACGGTGTTGGCTGCTCATCCCATACAACAGAAGCCTCAGATTGCTTATAATAAGGGGGAAATAGGAAGGGTAGATTTCAAGCTTACTATGCTAAATAAGTTATTGGGCCGTATTTCGGACAACCCTGGTCTAGACTGTCGTAAACCATAAGCCTGTGGACAGAGGGGGGCACATGTATTTAATCCCTGGCTACTTAACAGATGGTATTTAATTGAATAACAACAATGTGACTT